TCCAAATAAAGTGTTTTCTTCTATTTGCCCAAAGGGCTTAATACATAAAACCCAGGTGACTTCTGATGGCAGAGCGAGCTCATTAGCGACTCCAACAGCCACAGGCTGGCAGCAGGGCACACCCTCCGCAGCACCAAGTTCAGCAAGTTCTTGACTCTCCCAGCCCCGGGCCCTTTCCACGGAACAGAGACCCCATTCACCTCACTTTACAAGAAACAAACAAGGGCTGCAGCTGCCGGCCTCCCGAAAGCTGATCCTGGCTTGACTCTCCTAACAGTGCACCCCGGCTTTGCACAGCTGTCTGACGGGGGCTGGACACGACGTCCCCCTTCCGCGGGCCACACATTTGAGGGCATTTTCTCAAGGAAAACCAGGTGTCCCAGAAAATAAGTCATTGTTTCCATGAACAAGAGTCTCTTCTCGGTGACAGCATGATCCAAACTCGCTTGGGGCAGATGGAATTCCAGCCAGCCCGGGACCGCCCTGTGGGAGATTTGAGGTCCAGAAGTGGAGGGAGGGCGGCTCCCTTCCTACCAGCCTGGATTTCATTCAGAAGCACCAGCATATCCTCAGAACTTTCCACACTGTTTACCATCCGCTAAGCAAGGGACCAAAACCCACCTGACCCCTCCTTCCAGCCACTCTTCAGGGGCTCCCCAGGCGCACACCTGGGAAACCCCAGCAGGTTTAGGAAGCTCCAGCCCTTCTGGGGTCAGGTGTCACCCGGCGGCGTTTGCAATTCAGTAAGCCTAAAAGGGCCTCCTTGCAAGCTGCAGGAAGAGGCCTTTCTGATCAGAGAGGTTAAGAAGTGCTCAGGTACTAGGGCCACAGAAAGAACCCACCAATTGCTTTTTAGCAATGGCACTATTTTTTAATGCATTTTTTTCTTTTAAGCAGTGTTTCTGGCTTATTTTGATAACCACACAAAAGGAACTGTAGATTTATTATTATGACCATTATTTTAAGACGAGTAGAGATGCTGAAACCAGCTGAGGTGCTGGAGTGGCTGCCGGGAACACAGAGCATCGCCCGGCCACATGTGCACTGCCCCCAAATCGCATTTCTTATGGTTGACAGCGGAGCCAACGTTTCTGGGTTGACCAGAACCCCCTCTCATCGGTGTTCATTAAAATACAACCTAAAAACTGTGCCTCGCTCCAAGCACAGCTGTGCTTAGGTACAGTTCAGTGGGGGCGTGCTCTATTCATCTCCTTCGCTGCTGGGGAAAGCACTGCCAAGTCTGCTTCTGTGCAGGATCGGGGAAAGGTCCCCTACGATCCCCTGGACCCCGTTTTAGGGGTTAATTAGGGCATTAATTAGGATTAACTCAGGGTTCAGCTTTTCAAAGACACGCTGAGTAGCACTTACATGAATTTGGTTTTCTCCTCATTTAGGGCTAGCCAAAGCAGATTTCCCCCTCCCAGGGAGGGCGCTGGAGTAGTGAGAAATACCAGAAATATCATCACACCAATCATTTCTAAAAGAAACTTCCTAGAGAAGCCCCAAGGTTCTTCTCGAGGCTCAGAAATTCCAAAGACCTGTGGACCAGGCCGGCTGCGGTTTTCCCTGGAAGCATGCATCCTGGAAAAGGGGAAAGAACGGCCCCAGGACGTGGTCTTGTGCAAGCGGAGAAGCAATACATGAAGGGAAGCGGGGAGAAGCAGGGAGGCGGGGGGAGGCGGTGAGACTGCTCAGGTAACAAAGAGCTCCGAAGGAGAAGCCTAGGAACTACCTTCAGGAAAGCGCAGCCGGAAAATGTGTTTCATCATCTGTTAGCTGATGCCTCTCAGCGAGGCCTTCTGCACACTAATCCAATTATATTCCCAGGGAGCCTCGGAGGGGTTCCCACGGGGCTATTTTTAAAACTGACAAGAAACGGGCTTGTCCAATTGTCAGCTCTGTTTTTACAAACCTAGAGTTTGCTCAGGCTCGCCCCGACCAGCCGGGGGCTGAATGCAGCAGGAGCTGCTGCCAGCCGGCGCCCCACAGGCACTGGCTTCTTCCAAGCATCTTCTTAGCTAGGGGCTGGCAGGGGAGGAACGGGGCTTTGGGATCACTTTATTCTCCCCAAACTAGTCACAGCACCCATCCCTACACCCCACCCTAGGCCCTGTGGCCCCATGGTGAGGGTCGGCCAGGGAGGCCGGCTGTTTCTCCAAAGCCACCCCACAAGACCCTCCAAGGCACCAGGCCCCATGACGAAGGGAATCTCAGACCAATGGGGTGTCACCTGTGAACTACTGAGAGGGCCCCTTGGCAGGCACTTCCTGTCCCTGGGGAGCTAAATGTCTGGGGCTAGGTAGCCCCCACCCTTCCTGCACAGAAAAGTATGCTCACAAGGCCTGGCACAGCCTGCTACTGAGAAGCCCCAGGCAGGTGCTGTGGCCAACGGGTGGCTAAAGGCCAGGGCCAGGGGAGCTGCAGGGAGCCAGGAGAACCCAGACCACCTTGAGAGGCAAGCAGCCTTTGCCGATGAAAATCAGCCTCACCTGGACCTGGACCTGGACCTGTCGTGGGTCCTATGCAACAAGTGGAGAGGACCATAAATGACCCCAGACAGCCTGGAAAAGCCCCAGACCCCTGTGGTGGGGGTCAGAGCTGCTGACCCTCCGAGAGGAGAAGCAGGATGTAGGCAGAAGGGGTAAAGGGCTGGGGGCTGCACACAAAGACCCTAGGAAAATCCTGTCCTGCAATTCAGGAAACATCTTCCAGATATGAGGGGCTGGGGTGGGAGGCAGCTCATCAGAAAAGCACTGGAAAATTTGGCAGGGCACAGGGGCTACTTTGAGGCCTGGGTGCAACCTTGTGAGACTGCAATGCAACTAGCTCCTCCTGGAGCAAAGTGGGATGGATGTACATTCCTCACAAGGACCTCAAGCGAATACAGTCAATAATTAACCTAAAGGAATCAGCTTCACAAAGAGCCGGGGTCTGACCATCTTCTCAGAAAAATCAGCCACTGCTGCACATGAAAACCCAGCCTGCTCTACCAGGTCCAGCAGAGTACAGGAGGTGAAGTGCTTCCTGCCAGGCGATGCTGACCTCGACCTCGCCACCTGACATGCCACCACCTGTCTGCTTTGGGCAGGGCAGGAAAGGCTTCCAGTCAAAGGACAAAACACTTTTCAACCAAGCTAGGCAATATCCTAAGCGATCCGCCTCAAGTGGAGAAATGCTACCTCCAACTAGGCCACCCAAGAAATAAGGGACTGGTCACTAGAAATTTCAGAAGAGCCTAAGGACGTGAGCTGGTGAGTCAGTCCAGGTAGGTGCTTGTTTACTTTGCTCTTCCAATACAAGAAAGTGGTGTTAAAATGTTCGCTGATGATTAAAGTCGCTGCAACTAGAAGACTGCATCAGACAAACGCCCCCGAGAGAGCAAACAAATGACCCCCTGGAGAGGGTTCCCTTTCAGGACCTAACCACTGGCTGGTATTCACAGTGGTTTGGATTTCCTCAAAATAACCACAGCGCCTCTCCTGGCCTGAGAGGCTCCCAGGATCTGGGACAGGGGAGAGAAAGTGCACAGCCTCAGCCAATGTCTCACCTTTGAACTAATGGTGATTTTATGACACTCCTCATGACTCTACTGATGTTTCCAAGAAACACTGGATTTGAGGTTATGGCAAAAGCCACCAGTAGCTCTGCTGTGTAGCCTGGTATCAAAGAGGAAAATGTAAAGGGCGTGGACTCCAGCCTCTTATCAGCAGAGGCCTCATAGTCACAGTGTGGGGCCACAGCAAGCACTGCCACCCCAGACGCCAGCAGCACAACCATTCTGCAGAAAAGCTGGGGCTTTTCGGCCCCATCACTCAATCAGCCAAGCATTGGAAACCAGATCTGCCAACAGCAAAGGCTAAATGGTATTTAAAAGGAGCCACTTCTGAGTGTGTCCAGGGAATCTCTAGGTAAAATACAAGCGTGACTTCAATGTAAAATGTAAGCTTCATTAAAGAATACGTAATTAAAATGTTCTACACTGAGCCTTACGTATAAACCATCAAAATCAACGGTAGACAGTGAAATCTACAACAAAGAGGCGTTGTTCAAGAATATTCTCCCTACCTCTCAAATTTTGCACAGATGACAACCGACTCACCGAATGTAACAAGGGCGGCTCTGCGTCCTTCCCAGGCGCCTTTGTTACCTTGAGCGCTCCTGCTAGGTAGGGACAGACAGGTTTCATTCTGGCTTTTGGACTAGGATACTGGGGTGCAGGAGGGCTCCATGGCACGGCCACAGAGCGCTAATTCAAGGCTCTTCCCCAGCGGTTCGAAATTAAGTCAGCTAAAACGAGAGTGTGGGGCGAGGAAGCGCTGGGCGGATCAAGACCCCGGACCCCCTGCCGGACCCCCCGAGGGACCCCACGGCCAGGCCAGAGCCCTGGAGATCCAACGCGCAAGCGCCATGCGCCCAGGAAGCCTCACCCGAGCCAAGCCGGAGCTTCCGACCGAAATAATTATTGTCTTACACCAATTTGTGTTCCAACGTAAATTACCAAGTAAGTCGAACCGAGCCTAACTCCACTCATAAATCCCAGATGCCCACACGGCAATTTTCCTAAGCCCTGCGAGGACCGCAGCGCCCGGGTGGGTCCCGGGCGGGCCGAACGCGCCTCCCAAGGGCGCGGGTCAGAGGCGCACGGCGAGCTGGGGACCCCGGAAAACCGGGGCCACTCGGGGAGTGTCAGGAAGGACGACTGGGCGCCTTACGACGTCCGGGCAGACGCGGCCCCCGAGGAGCCCCCGAGGAGCCTCGGAGGAGCCGCCTGACCCGACTCCGACGTGCGCGATTGCGCCGGGGTAGCCAAACCCCCGCGCCCCTCCGGCGGGGAAAGGCCGACTGGACGCTGCCGGGGCCCCGTGGACTCGCCGGCAACCGGTTTCCCCGCCGAAGCTGCCCCGGGGGAAAGTCCGGGGGAGCTAAGCGGGACCCCGGGACCCGGACACCCAGACCCCGGCGCCGCCCGTCCGCCCCAGCGCCCCGCCCGGGCCGCTCACCTGTTGTCGACGTGCAGGCTGGGCGAGCACTTGATGGCGAGCCAGGTCTTCCAGTGGACGTGGCGCACCTTGTACACCTGCCCGAAGCCGCCCGAGCCCACCTTCTCCCAGCCCGTGAACTCGCCCGCGTCGAAGGTGCGCAGCAGCCCCAGGGCCCACGGAGTCCCGCCTTCGCCCTCCATCGCGCGCTTCTAGCCGGAGCCGCCGCGGCAGCCCAGGTGCCCAGGTGCCCAGGTGCGCGCCCCGCCCCGTTACGTCACTTCCGTCCATCCCCGGCCCCGCCCCCCGGCTCCCTCCCGCTGGCGCCGGGTGACTGCGTTGTCCCCTGGGTGCTCAGGGCGTGCGAAGGGCCTGGACGTGCGCATCAGCTGGCCTGCTTTCCTTTGCTTTTTTTTTCTCTTCATTGCAGGATCACATGCCGTCGTAAGGAATCATTCACTTTGCCCAGTTTCCCCCAGTGCTATCACTTTGCAAAACTTTGCAAAGAAAAGTAAGTACGATCTCACAACCAGGATATCGACTTTGATGCAGTCACCGATCTTGTTCAGTTTGGCTCTGTTGTACTCGTTTTCCTTTGCGTGTGTTAGTTTTACACAATGTAATTACCTGTGTAGCTTCCTGTACCCCCCACCTGGCCCCTCCTGTGGCGATTTTACAGCCGCGCCCCGGAGCCCTGGCATCACTCATCTTTCCTCTATTTCTAAAATTGTTCTATTTCAGAAATGTTATGTTTAGATACAGGACCATACAGCGCCTAATTATTTGAAACTGTCTTTTTTCAGTCCTCAGCCTCATTCCCTGCAGGTTCGTGTCTTGCTTTTTCACACGAGTTTCCTCTTAGAAAGTAACTTTTTAAAAAATTGCCCCAACAGCAAATCTAAAGTCCATTTCAAATACAAGAGTTCCTTCATCCTTTCCTAAATAACAGCCTCTTTTCACAGGTAGAACTGACAGATGGTTTGAAAACGAAAGATGTTTTTTTACGTATGGAGAAAAAAAATTCCCAGCCTTGGCAGGATACTTGTTTAGAGGCTGAAGTGTATCAGAGATCACGCACACGTCCACGCCTCAGAAAACGCTCACTCATTCCTGAGACTGCACCATGAGCGAAGGCTGATTTTTGGCCACAGGAGATGAATAATGAAGACGGGAGGGCGGAGCTAAAGGAGAGGGCATTTTAACCACATTAACTGGTGTTTTCGTGTGAGTCACCTGGAAAGAGAGAGGCTGCCCCAAGTCAGCCCATTGGAAGCCTCAGACCTGGGGCGTCTTCCACACGGGCAGGGTCCTTCTTTCACAGCCTGCAGCGGGGTGCTACGTCTCCCCACTGCCTCCCCGCTCCCATCCGGCCCCTCTTCGAAGGGAACTCACACATCCCAACGGGGGGATGGGTGCGGGGGGGGGGGGGGGAGGCCTCCTGGGGGAACCCGGGAGCCACTTCCTTTCCCACATACTCTGGAAATTGAAATTGGTTTCCTTGGCAAATAGTTGTTTGAAGCTTTTTATCACAAATGTAACTTACATTTAAACTAATGTTTTAAAAAACAATTGGGGTTTTGAATCTATGAAGATAACTTCGAGTAAACATAGTCATTATTTTGGTGGGAAAAAAATGAATGGACTGGAAAGTGAGTCATGCGCCCTGTTTCCGGGCCCAGCGCTAGCAAGATGCCGTTCTCCCCACAGCACGCAGCTCCGCAGCTGGGGCTGACTAACAGCCCACACCACTCAAGTAATAAAACGCTCTAATTTCATTTATTTAATCATCTGTGTGTTTCATTCGACAAATATTTATGGAGCGTCTGCTGCTAGCTCAGTACTTGGTGCCTGGGAGCGGGCACCGGAGCCCAGGGAGACCGAATTGCAGCTCCCAGCTGCGAGGCAGATCGCGTACAAAGATCACGGGCTGGGCCGCAGCAACCTGGTTTGGCTCCTGCAAACTTTGAGGTGCTTTACCGATTCATATGATAACTGGGAAAGGAAAACAAACACTTTTGCGGGAGTTGTGGATTCCAGTTCCAGACCCTCTGCTATTTATGTTAATAGTCATTGATTCCAGGCTGGTAAGGTTAGCATTTCCAAGTACAAAATTAATTTAAAGTTTGGCTTTAAATATATTTTAGGTCTAAAGAAAAAGATAAAGTGAATAACAGGGCAAGATTTGCATCTCAGGCTTGGGAGGTGGCTGTCCTGAGGATGAATGGGACAACATTAATTAACCCCATGAAGTTCCTGCATGCCCAGAGTGGTTACAAAGAAATCAATCAGCACAGATCCTGGGCGGAAAGCTGGGCGCAGCCACGGATGCACAGTAGGGGTGCTGACCTGAAGGTTTTTAGGAGATGGGGCAGGAAGCTCCACAGAGCTGGCCCGCCTGGGAGTGCGGGTGAGGAGGGGAAGGATGACAAGTGGAGACAACAGGAACAATGGGAGGTGAGAGGTGGGAAGGGGAAGGAGGGGAAGGGGGCTGTCAGCCGACCTTTGCAAGGCCCCACTCCCCCACTCCTCCACCCTCCTCCTGGTCCCTTTCTCAGAAGAATTCCAAAGTCCTATACTGGATGTCCTGACAGTGAATCTAAACGGGTGACTCCTTGAGCTTCAGTTCCTCAGGCCGTGCCCTTCTTCACAGGGGGCCATTTGGCATTGACCCAGCAGGCGGCCAAAGTCCGTGGTCTGGGAAGCACTGGAGGAAGCCACCTTTAACTTCCTACTGTAGGGAACAGAGAAAGTTGCAGGCCAGGGAGAAGACAGGAGAGAGAGGTCTCTGGGCTTGCAGCCAGCCTGCCTCACAGGAGATCCCAGGACAGATGTGACCGTAGTGCATTTGCCTACCCCTGACCTGGGGGTCTATGGGGATCCAAGGAGATGATAATTATGCATGTGTGGCACCTGCCAGGCTGTGGATGAATAGTGAGATTCTAAACTGAGTCATGTTCATCTTTGTCCTTCTCAGGGTCTGGAGCAAGTCAGCCCTCAGAAGTGCGTGGCTCAGTGAGATGGTGGGGCTGACGTAGGGCTGACCTGGCTCTCAGACCCCAGAATAAAGCCGGAGTCACTGGGGTCCACTTGCAGGCATGACCTTGGGGCAGGGGAGTGGAGCTGAGCTGGGCAGTCTGCCTGGGAACACTGTCCCCTCCTGCCGGGCCTCTGTGCCCAGCCTCCTCCCTGCCTGACAGACGCCTCCCTCCCCTATAACGGCAGCTCCTGCCACGACTTGCAGGGTTGTTTTTGAGAATTCCCTGCGTGTTGTACTATTTTCTAAAAGAACATAACTTGTTCACTGCAGAGATGCTGCCTTCATTAATTCTGACAAAGCGATCTAGGCGAGACATTGAGGGCCTGACTCTCGAGGTCCTCAGACACCTCTGGGAGACCCATCTCCACCTGACACCCAACTCCAAGCTCTCACTCAAGCAAATACTTCTTATACACACAAACACTTCCTTATCAGAGACGGCTCCTCCTTTGACCCAGTGGTTCCTGAGTCTTCCCGCAGGATCGCTGATCCCCTTCCGGGAACACAGCGGGAAGAGTGCAGTTCACCCGCTAGGGGCTTGTGCCTGAGAGCTGAAGCCATCGGGCAGATGGGTGTGAATTCTCACTGTAACAATGCTACGTTCTCATCTCCTTCTACCCTCATCCTCCCCTCCATTGTCTTTACATTTGGGCTCCTTAAAGCCCCAATCTGGAGCTTCCCTGATCCCCCCCTCTTTCCCCGGGCGGCTCATCCAAGCCCACAGACTCAGCTTCCATGTATTCTACAAAGGTCCCCCAGCTTCTCTCTGCAGCCCAGACCTCTCCTCTGAGCCTCACACCCTCAAACTTAATGTGGTGCCCACACTAGGATGTCCCTAAGGCACCTGTACCATTTGAGATAAGCCGATGATTTTCACTCCCAAACTCCTTCCCAGCTCTCCTGACTCTGTGAAGAAGCCCTCCCCACCCTGAAGGCCGGGACAGAGTAGCTCATGGCCCCAACTGCACACTCGATGCAGGCCTATGTCCCAGGACCACCCTGAGCAGGAGGAGAGGCAAACCTGGCCTGGCCCCGAATGTTAAAAGGCTCCAGTCTGGAGCTCCTTGGCCCTTCCTGTCTACCCAGTGCCTGGAGTCAGTGGGGCCAGGAGACACTCACTGCCATAGATCAGGCAAGCTCTGGGGACCCTGAAATTCCCAGCCCAAATGTCCCTCAGTCACCTCCAGCACCCGCACATGTTCATTCTCCCGAGGGCAACTGCACAACCAGCGTGAGCACCCCAAGCCCCCAGGTGTAGCAGAGAGCACGCTGCATGCACGGGCCATGGGCGGAGCTCAGCATGAAGCCGGGTGTCCACACAGGGGCCAGTGAGGCCGCTTTCGGGTTAGGACGGAGCTGCAGGCAGAAAGAGACGGGGTCTGTTCGGGGGCAGGAGCTGAGACTCCTCACTGTGCTCTAGGTGTGACAGTGCATGTGTCAGACTCAGAGGACAGAACTCACTTCATTTAACACTTCGTTAGCTTGATGTAGAACTTCCAACAACTCAGACACGTGGTTCCTCGGCCGGGTTATTTCACCCTCCACTAGGGCCCAGAAGCATTGGCACAGGTCTGGTCACCAAGACTGGCAGCTTGTCCATCCTGAGTCCCTGTAGCTGTGACTCTGTCCCCTGTGCCAGTGCCTGCACCCCAGTCATGGTCACTCCCATCTGGTCATGAGGGCAGTCACCCTGTCCCCAGGGGGCTCAGGAGGGTCCAGACACCCATGAGACCCTAGCCCCAGCCACTGTGTCTTGACACAGCCTAGAGAAAGAATTCAGGAACAATTCACTGGTCCCCTCCCACAATAGTGAGACAGGCAAGAAGCTCTTCTAGAAAAGAGAAGGTGGGCACTTGAGAGCAGAGCTGACTTGTGAGGGAGAGCAAGTCACACACAGTGAAGTTTGGGTTCCTGATTTTGTGGGCTTTTCTTTAATTAAAGGGTAGAATAATCATTACGTATTTTAGAAAAAGAGGGGATTTCAGGGACCTCCCGATTACCCTCCTTTCGCTCTCTTATCTGGGTTTGCCTGGCAGCGTCCTGGACCTGTCACCCTGACAGGGGTTTCTGCCGTTTTCTCTCTGTTATTTCGGGTTTTCGATTATCCTGAGGTTTCTTTGCCTCGCACTTGTTTTAGCTATGGGCTGGGTTTTTCCAGCCTCCCACGACCACCACGGCTACTCCTCTCTCAACCCTGGCCCTCTTGGGCCCACTCTTCACTTGCAGCAGGGTGTCTGGAAAACTCAGCCC